TTAAAACACGTAACAGGACGAAAGACTTGTTCTGGTAGAAATTATCTTCCTTACAGTATATTCGCAACGTTTAATTTCACGAGTAAATGCGATGTTTGCATTTTATTAATTCAAAATACCATATATTTATAAAATTATATATATTTCTAAACTTATTTGTATCAATATACAAAGGACATCACACATTTAAATTAATAATAAATTAGTCCCAATAAGTTGTCGAGTTCATGATTTTTTCAGTCTAACTTTCCGATTCAATAAACAGGAGATTAATCATCACTAGGAGATTAATTTCTTTGCTATTTTCTTTTCAGACTAACATAAGTTTTGCCAAAAATCGCCTAATCTTCAGTAGCTTTCAGGTGCGCTATTGTGCATCGTTTTATCACCTGACGGACGTGACTCGCACGCGGTGAACACTCCTGATCTTGGAGGTTGCTCGTGCTCGGGTCATCGGCCACGTAGTTTTTCGCCGTAAGTCACGCGAGGAGTTCTCTTAAGGGACGAAGGCGAAGGTCGCCATCGCAACCTCGCATCTTCGACCTCTCGTAAGAGCAGCACGTATAACACGAGGGCTGCATCCACAGCTGCATCTCCCCACCGACGCCGCCCGTGTGTATCATCGCTTGCGTTCGTCCTACTCCGCTCGACGACGATGTTTTCGACGTCGCATTCGTACGAGTGTGCGTGGGTGATGGATAGACGGTTACCGTGTCACTCGTGCAAAGCGCTAAACGGACTTGAATGGCTCGAAATTGCATGGGCGACTGCATTGTGACCGCGTCGACGGCACAATGGACGGCCGTGCGATGAGCGCGCGAGTGTGCGTACGTCGATGTGTATGCAGATGCGGCACAAAGAAACGTCGAGGATCCATCGGGAGATAACGATCTTCCAGATGAGCGACATTCTTTCGTACAGCTCGATATCGAATCGATGCCGGCTCGAGATCGGCGGGTGGATCGGCGATCCGAATGGCCGGTCCTTTCATCCGATTGTAGAGTCGCAGGTGTGAATTTGCTGGTAGTTTGAAACTAATAGCGAAGTCGTTATACTTTATTTGTTAATCGCGAGAGGAATGGCATCAAAGATATTTGCAAAAAAGATAAAGAGAGATAGAGGAAGTTAGAGTTCTTAATAAGAACGGTTTTGTTGAAGTATCTGAAAATTTAACTAGATACCGATCTGAAAATAATTTTGTTGGACCATAAAAATAATTATGTAAAAACTGATTGTTAGATTAACGAAGCTTTTTGCAATATTAACATCTATATCAAATATATAATTATTTTGATGGTTACCTATATAATTATTTTGATGGTTCAACGAAATTATTTTCAAATCTGCATCTAACTAAACTTTTGAATAATTTAATTTTGCTCTAGTAAAATCGTTCTTTATGTATGCTCCGTAACATTTTTTTAAACTGTAATAGCTTTCCAAAATCCTTTTATATAGAATATGTTCTTTGTATCTAAAGATCTATCTCTTTCTAACGCGATGGCGCACGAGACTTTATGAAATAAAAATCCGTTAGCGTTCACATTCACGTCTCTGTTCTTCATCTCTCTCTTTCGTACAGATACGAGTAACGTGTCTATCCTACAAAATTTATCGTGACTATCCGTTGAATTTTTTTTTTAAACTATCGCCTGTGATTCGTCGAGAGCGAAGCGTCAGTTATTCGCGTACTGGAAAAAAAAACCGAAAAAACCGTCGCTTCCTGTCGCATTACCTCCCCTTCTTTCTTCTTCTGTCTCTAAATACATGTGCGTTTGTATGTGATTTTGCACGCGTGTATGTTGGAAAGAAGTAAAACCAATCGGCGGTAGTTTCATCCGCGAATCACTCTCTCTTTTTCTGTTATCAAAGACGTTACACCTGGTACATAATACCGACCGCCATCTTTAACGCGTCGTTCGTCGTAACGTACAAAGGAGAGCAAGGGTAAAATCGAAACTGGCAGAAATCACCCCAAAAATCTTGGACCCCTTCTTCTATCTCCCCACTACCAGCACTGTCTTTACCGTTTGCGAGGAGTCTGCGGAGGGGCTCACAGATTCTCACGGAAAAAAAGCGTAATTTTCGATGAAAAAAGGGAAGGGACGATGCAAATTCATGGGTGAAAAAGGAAAGCCTCGTGTGAGTCGCGTATGTACCTGCCGTAATATCCTGCGCGTTAGAAAGAACGAGGAGTAGTAGATACGGGGAGTAATGGGTCGCGCGAACGAAGGAAGAAGGGCCCAAGATACACCCAGATGGGGTAGAAACGTGCCGAACGGAGCGAAATTTTATAGAGAATCCGCTCCAATGTTGTGCGCCAGTTTCCTGAAGGTATCCTACCTGACCTGTTGCGTCTTTTTTCTCCCTTTTTTTTTTACGATTTCGGGGGAATCCTCCCGTCAGGTAACGCAGATGGAGAAGCGAAAATCGGGTCGGGGCCCCCGAAAAGTGACGCCGCGTTCTAGCAGGATATTCACTGGATTTTGAATTCCTTCACTCTTCTTCTTCTATACGTTCCTATAACGATCGTTCCCGTAGCCCCAGTAGCACCTCGATGGACCCGAAGGATCTAGTCCCCCACCTGCGTTGCAGCGGAGCGTTTTTACAACGTTCTCGCGAGCGTTTATCTCCATTTTTGGTTTCTCTTCTCCAACTTTTATCCTGGAATCGGGAGTCGATGGGAAAGTACCACGAGAAAAGTGGCTCCAAATGGCTAAGCGACTTCTACTTTTTGGCATTGCTGACCCTCGTCCCCCCTCGACATTGTCTCTCCGCGGTTTTCGACTTTTCCCACAAGAATGTGAGGGAATAGCTTCTTTCCTCGTCTTTAGTTGCGGCTGATTGCTCGCTTCAGTTTACGTGTTTTTACGTTTACCTCGTAAACGCGAAGGATCGTTACAAAGTCTATAAAAGAGTAATGTGTAGATGTAATGTGTAGATAATGTTGTCGAAACGATGATGAAAAATATTAAGATCCATAGTGTCATTAATAAATATAATTTATCAAATTTAATTTAGTATAATTTACGAATTCTGTAAATATCAGGAGACATGATAATATTAAATCAATCATTTGTTAAATTGATTCTCACGATTATATTACATCGCGTACCTATATAATTTTTATGATTACATGATAATGTTTGCACATTTATAGAAATGTGCTGAGAGATTACGTTTATGTAACTTCATTACTTATTATGTAAATTTAATAATATCTGTAAATAATTTCTAGCTTCTTTCTTTCCAATTCGACGATCTATATACCTAATGACTTTCTTTTTAATCTATGATTATCACAAATTTCTTAAAATTCCATAACTTTTCTTTGATTTCTAGACAAAATTTCATCCTGATGAAATTTTTCCTGATTTTAACATATAATAACAATGTAAATTATTATTAATATTGCTGACACTGTTTGCATTTTTAATTGTTAAGTTGCTAGTATTTGAAAACTGCGTAGATGTGATATACATATATTAAACTTTGTTAAAGAATTTTTATTTTTCAAAAAATTTTGCAAAATTCTCTTTTTCCTAATTTTCTGATCATTTTCAATTCCCTGACAATTCCTTAATTTCTTCAGTTTTGTGGCAAGTCTGTAATCGATTATACATATATCTACATCTAATATATTTTTTATAACTTGCACAAGTTCTTTTGCGATCAATTAATGTAAAGTTTGTATGAAACGAAATCCTAAAGTTTATTGCTTCCGATAATGTCCATAGAATCTCATTGCTGCGACAGCAGCCCTGAACGCGACATACGTTGAATGCTATAAATCCCCTTTCAAAATAGTATATCGGCGTATCGAAATAATTATTAAAAATCGCGCGAGCCAATCGTGGTGTATAAGCCCGTGTTCTCCGAATCAGCGAATCGGTTCCATGCCATTATTCGACAACCCCGGCGCGAACGAGATGAAGGAGGCTCTTAGTAAAGGGGTGGCGAGGGAGAAAGTAGACATAAGATACGATGATGGATGCTCACGAAGGGTTGCTGCTGTACTGTAGTAGGGGGGGAGGACACACCGAAAGGGCAAAAGGGTTCTCCTCGACCAATCGGCCTGACGTAACTGATGAGACCGACCAATCCCGGGGCCCAACAGGGTCATGTAGTAGTGGGGAAGATTGGTGCGCCTTTAGGGGTACGGTTTCGTTGCGTCATTCTGACATTCGCTCTGTATCAGTTCGTCGACGAAGATCAACAGTGACTTCTAGGACTCGAAACGATCTCCGACAAACCAGTTTCTTCGAAACCGTTTTTTTTTTATGGGTCCTTAAACTCGCGTCAATCGCTGTGCGATCCGCATAAATATTAATGAGGTGTTAACGATAATTAAATTTCAAAGACGTCCGTTCCAATTATCGCAAACTTAATTATTTTCTCAATCAATCGTCAGTTAACATTGCGCGAAGAAACGTGAACAATCGGTGCGTTTTTTTTTTATCGGAGTGCACAGCTTTTTTTGTCTCATGTCTTCCGAAGCGCAATGGGATCGCGCCGATCGATAGATCAACGTGGGATCGCCGAGTGCGATCCCCTTCGCGCGAGAAATCGTTCGCCGTGCTGGACCTCGAGAAGCGTCCCAATGTAGGGACGACGAACGAAACGGACGAAGCTATGATGGTCTTCCTGGAAGAGTCCAGGATGATCTTCGCGGATATGCGTCTTCATGCCACCAGCACGCCGACCAGCATCCCCACGCGATATCATCATCATCAGAAGTATAGAGCGCAGAACAATAACGATTGTACGACAATAGCGCAAATTCTTTTCTGACGAATTTGATAATAAACTACGGAGTTAAAAATATAAATATTTTAAATTCTGAGTCTTGCAACGTCAATGTTACGCTACATCTTGAGTGCTTAATAAGAGTAAAAACAGAGATTTAATTTTAAAGATTTATCAGGTATAAAAAATTTAAACAAAAAAAATTTAGATCGAACAAATATTTAAATCAAAGTTGTTATTTGTTGCAGATGCAGATTTGCATGGGGATGTCGATGGTCCTGAACTTAGCGGAGATGACAGGAGTATCGCAAGTGACATCCAAGATGCTACTGAGGCGCATCTTGATAATGACTCCATGGACTCGGACAGGGAAGCTCTCAATCTGGTAAATAAATTTTGATCTAACTCTATTTTGATTTATTCTTTTCGTATATTTTTTTTATATTCGCGATTATAATATTTTTTTAATTGATGTTGAAATTGAATTATTTTGTTAACGAAGATTTCTCTTGTTCCTGTTCAAGTTAATATTTTATAAATGATGTAAAATATATTATTCAATACTTTATGAATATATGATTGTGATTAGAAGACAAAAAGATATTGACTATATGTTTGTCATGTATTATTGCGCGTTATTAATAATTATCAGAAATGCATACAGAGTGCTGAAAGCGCTTTTAGTGCCGCGAGCAAAATATACGAGTATAATTCGCAAATAATTTGCACGGCATCTTGCGTGCACGAAGTTGCAGACTGCTTGTATAATACGCGCGAAATTAGTCGCTCTTCGTGTCAATGGTTCTATTAACATCGACACGTCTGATATATGTTCTTAAAATTAATAACGAATGACAAACATTTTTACGATTTCAATAAATGATTATTATTCATATACACGTTATTGTTAAAAAATGTAAAAACGTGTAGCATCTTCGGTTCGTTTATTCAATCAACATAAAACATTTTTATGAACAAATATTTTAAAAAGTTACATACTAATATAGTGAATGAAGTAATCCGTGTGTGTATATATATATATATATATATATATATTTAATTAAAACCGTTATATCAAATATTTTTCTTATAAATAAAAATATTTTTTTTTAATACATAAATAATCAAATCAAATAAAAAATATTTTATATGTAAATAAATAATATTTTTTATTTATTTCCGTTTGTTTTTGGAAATAGTGCATGTAATATTTTTATGAGAATCTCTCTTTCGATTAATCAATCTTGTATTTTGTTTATGCTGTTATTATTGATAATTAAATGTCTTCGTACTAAACTTGTTAATAATATTTACAAAAGATGATTTTCTTCAATAACTTAACTCTTCAATGGTATTTTCTCTACTTATTTTGACGAAAGCGTGCTTTGTCATGTCACCCATTGTCATCTGTTGCCTGTGTGCGTTGCTTAAATGTATCAACAACGTTACCAATCCCATTTGCGAGCATAATATCAAGCGTGCTTTCTTTCGAGAGGAACGTTCGCGGACCGTGTCTTCAATTTTTTTTTTTCGTACAGGACGCTCTTGACGGGCGTAAAAAGCGCTCGCGATCAATATTTGACAAATAAATAAAGGAAGCCACTAGCGAGATGGACGACAAGAAGGGACGACGTAGGGAGAGTAGGTTTTATAAAACACAAAAGCGCAGGATGGACCGTAGTGACCAATATCCTGACCTGGCCGAGTGTAAACATAGCTTTGTTCGACGGCGAATTTACTCTGTAATATTAGGGAGGGTGGCCCTCCTCGCGCACGGCCCGACTGATTCTTCGTGTTCTCGGTCCCACGTTACAGCGTGAAATGTCGTAGCCCGCATTTTAGGGGAATCAAAGATTGTCACTTGATAATATGAAACGATAAACTATTTAGTTGTTGGACACCAAAAATTGTGCATAGCATCTGACTAAAGTTTCTCAGAAAAGATTTCTCTAACGAAACAAAGAGTATTCTTGACATACTTTAGCTTTATGCAATATAAAAATAATACAATATTAAAATTAGATCAATATTTCCTATTCTTTTTCCTCAAATTAAATAAAGATTCTCTATATAATTAAATAAGTCCTTATATCGATCCTATTTTGTGATAGATTGAATATTATAGCATTGAATTCGGAAATATTTTCTATGGATATAGTAACGACTATTGATTGGCGTAATATTGACTCTTAAAATTGGACAGGATGTTTACTGAAATTTTGTAAAAACGTTTCCTGCGAATTCCCGGATTTTTCAAATTATTTTTATTCAAAATTCCAAGTAATATTAGATAATTTTTTAATGCAAACAATTTTGAAATAAATTGAAATGCAAGCAACACAAACAATTATACATATCGAAAACTAATAGAAGAAGATTTTCACGAAATTACATGTATCTATTATTTGTTATAATCAAAGTTGCGAAAGAGGATAATATATAGCGAAGACTCACTACGATATAATATCAGTAAGCTATTCTCTTTTGCTGAGTATATTTTACTGTTACTCTGACTTTTTAAATAAAAATTTTATTGTATATTTTACTGTCGCTCTGATTTTTTTAAAATAAAAACTCGCGAGAATGTTTATGTGAATATTTATATATACGCGAACGTGTATGCTATTATATAACGTATGAAAAGAAGAGCATAAAAAAATTTTTTATGCTCTTCTTTTCATACGTTTTGAATTATAAACCACGTTCGTTTTTATGATGTATTTTCAATATTTTAAAATTGAAAATGAGTGTTGAGCGTCAGTATGAAAAGGCACTTTTAATTTCAAAGTTAAAAAAGAAATTGCCTAAAAATCGTTTTTTTTTTCAGGTATTTTAGATAGTAAACATCCTGTGGAAATATATCTTCTAGATTTCATTCAGAAACATTACTTGAATACCCACGTGTATCGTCCTTGTTGTTCACCCATGTTAAACAAGGATAAGACGATACATGGGAGCACTTAGGTGATGTTTCTGAACGAAATCTAGAAGATATATTTCCACAAAATGTTTACTACCTGAAAAAAAACGATTTTTAGGGAATTTCTTTTAGTTCTAGAAGTCCTAAAAAATAAATATATGTATATCTTAAAATATATCTACTAATTACACATTTTTCACACAATTTTTGTTGTATATTTTTAGTTAAATTTACATTAGATTTATTAACACAAAAAAGGTCGAATTGATATAAATTTGAGATGTTGCTTCAGGTCACGGATGTCTCGCAACGCAACAGTAGCAGCGGTACTAGTGGCAGTGCGTCCTCACCGAGTTCCGGAATCAGCAGCCAGCTCACCGGCAGTCACCAACAGCAGCACACGTCCGGCCAACAAAACAATAGCAATTCTGCTCTGGCGACCGCTCAATTGCTCAGCCAGCAATTGCTGATGCATGGTGCATTAGGGACCCAGGATCTCCAAGCGCTCGCTTCGACGTTGCAACATCATCAACTACAGTCGCTACAACAACAACTACAGCAATTCGCCATGTTTCAGGCCAATCCAGCTGCGGGACAGCTTCCACCGTTCTTCTTGCAAAATCAGGTGGGTGATGAACAATGAAATTTATTCTATATAGATCAGAATCTATTAAAAAATAATATTTCCGATTTTCGAGTCGTTTTATCGATAACTACTTTGCCGAATTACTTATCTACTTAAATCACAAATTGCATTTCGTATCATTGTGATTCGTCAGCGGGATCGGATCCGATTGAAGCGGATCGTCAAAGCAGCGACGTTCGGCAGTGCTATCTGATCAGGGTGCAGATCAGGCGAGAGCGAACGTCTTATTCTTCACGTATTCGCGATTCGATGTCGAGATAGCTGTCTGGCAACGGCACAAAGGAAATCGGGGTGCTACCTCCTCGTTTAGGCTTGCTCTCACCGATGCAAATGTATACGAACAGCGCCTTGCAACCGCATCACAGCTGAATTTCGCGCTCCATTACATCGCATTAAAGTCTTCTTAAACGAGTAGTCATCGAAATAATCCCGACGCAATCTCTAATGGAATTTGCGGTGTCCGTTTATTTAGTCCCATTATACGTATCTATTGCTTCGCATTGATGAAAGCAAAAAGTGGAATGCAATGCAATGTAATTTATCGCAAAAGTAATGCTAGTAAAAGCTGAAAAATCTTAGATATAAAATCTGTTGTGCAAAGATAAAAAAGATATTACTGAGGAATCTGAATTTTAAAATACACCCGATAGCATCATAATAATATAACAATACAGAAAACGCTTACAAAACGAATAATAATTGAAGATTCCCCGGAAAAAAGCATACAAAGCGATTTCCTGATTTTCCTCGATAAATATCACGTTTCGAGTATGCCTTAAAACCCGCGCCTGACGATCGCCGAAAAAGAAGCGACATATTTATCAGTCGTCTCGCAGCACGCATTCCTCCTCCGATGAAAGAAGCGTTCCACGATTTTCTCACTATTTGTTCGTTGGATCTTTCGGATCGACAGAAGGTGGAGGAATCGATCTACGATATCCGGGGATACGTTGAAAAACGATCCCGCTTCCTGGATGCGCTCCCTCTCCCTCTTTTTCTCATTTGTGCGGCTCTTCTCGCGAGCGATCTGAATGGACCGGGCTTTGCATTTACGAAAAAAAAAAAAATGTCTATAGAATCCATCACGACGTGCGCGTACAACTATAGTCTCCGGGAAAAATCAACAAAACGACTTCGAGGTTTAGCACACTTAATGGGCAGCGGCGTTCGCATGTATTATATATTTATTGTGCACGCACACGTACATGTGTATTTGCACATAGGGCCCTAGATATTTCCCGTTTGTATCAGAAGGTACCGCACGATGCAACAAGGTGGGCTTAGAGCCCTTCGGCACCTTGCCCCGGGGCGCCTTTTGTTACCTCACACGTGGCCAGGATGTTTCCTTTTTTCACCGCGCTCCTTCTCTTTCTTAGCTACAGAAGGACCTTCCTTCTCCGTGTGTTCTTCCTTTCTTTTTTTATTCGTATGCAGCATTAAGACAGGCACACGACCTTCTCCATTCGAGAAAGCGCTGCGCCGAGTACAACCTGCCCCTTTCAACCCCTTCGCGGGCGGTTACGCGTGTGCGCCACGTGAGGACTTTTATGGCTTATCTGCCGCAACAAAGGTTCAATTTCTTCATTCAGAGATCGTTTAGGGATCTTTTTCTACCTTCATTTTAATTACTGTAAAACGATCTTTTTTACTCTGAATAATTGTAAAATATTTAAAATCATTTTTAGATATAGAATAACATGTATTTATTTTTGACATGAAATTTTTTATATGAAAATTTGAAGGATTTTTCGAGTAAATTAAAGTAAAAAGATGTAATATATTTAGATACACATACAGGTTACAAAATATTTTTTATACTTGTTAAGTTTCGCAAAAGTTACCTGCATGCCTTAATTTTTCTATCAATTGTTCCTCTCAGTAGAAAAATGCTTGATTATTTGTAGCATTTCTGTAAATATTTTTAAATCTGTGTCCTGTCTCTTAAGTACTAAGAGATCAACTCCGCTTAAAGTTAAACACAACTGTCTTTCGTAGACGATAAACCTGTCGCGGTTGATCCCGCACGTGGCTCAACTCGAGGCATTTCCGTAGGGTGTCTTCGCGGCCACAATGCGCATAAACTAACTGCTCGTATGCCAGCGACACGCGACCAACCCTGAACCCTTTCCGACCCGGGATACCGTACCCTTCATTCTCATAATCGAGTATCGCATGGCTAAGGAATAGATGAAGATAATCGATCGGACTGATTCAACCCTTGGAATATATTTTTCATACCTGTACACGCGCTCAACACGTGTCGCGTTTCATAAAAACACTAAGACATTTATTTTCGAGATTGACGGGCGCAAAATTAGCTATAAGTAACGGTACGTAGCTGTATTTTTGAATCACAATGCTCGTTTACAGAAATTTAGGACTATAGAGATGTGACGAATCAATTAAAAGCTGTATTTCATTTTGAAATGCATTTTAAAGATACCGTGGAAATGAATTTCTATTTTGAATAGAAATGAAATGCAGGTGACCATTATTGATTTTTACCAATGGTCGTCAACGTCTTGCAGGGGCTGTTGCAGAGCGGTGGCTACCCAACAAGACCGAGTCATCCGCGCTCACAGTCCATGCAGGTACGATTTAGGAGAGAGTTGTATCCAGGCATTGTTGATTGCAAAATTTATTTACGGACGAAAGCATGAACATTATTTTGTAATAATAAGGGTTAAAATTCCTTTAGAAGTGATAAGAGCATATTATAGAGATATCTAGATCACTTTTAAAAGGCTCGATACAACTTTAATTTGCATGTTTAAAACGACGATTATTATCCTTAAACATCTCGTGTGTATTTTTGAATAATTTAAAATTGATAAGAAAAACTATAATTGTTAGGTGCAAGCGGCAGCGCAGTTGCTACAGAAGCAGCAAGTTCTTCAAAATAGCGGCAATTTAGTCGGGCGAAGTTTGGCGCAAAGATCATCGCCACCACCGAGCACACCGCCAGCAATAAAACCGACGAGATTAGAACCTTCGCCGGAGGAAACAACGGACCTCGAAGAGTTAGAACAATTCGCCAAAACCTTCAAACAAAGACGGATCAAGCTTGGTTTTACTCAAGGAGACGTCGGACTCGCCATGGGCAAACTTTACGGCAACGATTTTTCCCAAACTACGATCTCCAGGTAAACATATTTTTTGTGTAAGCTTTAATTAAATAAATATAATTTTCAAATGAATATAAACGCTGTAATAATGTTTAAAAAATATTTTTATTCGGAGTTTTTGAGTTGTTTTCTTTTTCAGACTATTAAGCTTATATATTGTTTAAATTATTTCTTTTATATATAATAGAAATGGCATATAAAACAAAAGTAGTTTACTTACATCATTTTAAAGTTAATGAAATAAATGATTACTGACACTAAGCTGAGCAAAATCAATGGTTATGCAGGTTTGAAGCACTGAATCTTTCCTTCAAAAATATGTGCAAGCTGAAACCACTGTTACAAAAGTGGTTAGAGGATGCCGATAATTCATTGAACAATCCTAACTCTCTGTCGAATCCACTTACGACACCGGAAGCAATTGGCAGACGGCGGAAGAAGAGAACGTCGATAGAGACCAGCGTAAGAGTGGCTCTCGAAAAGTCTTTTATCCAAAACCCAAAGCCCACGTCCGAGGAGATAACCATACTGGCGGATAGTCTTGCGATGGAGAAAGAAGTAGTTCGTGTGTGGTTTTGTAATAGGTAAATATTAAAATTGTTAAGATATACACATAGCCGTATCCAGAATTTTTTTAGAGACGATTTGAGTCAATGTATATCATATAAGTAGTAATTTTTTGCGTTAATGAGTTGCTTTTTTTTTAAATATTTTAGAGTTTGAAATGTTTCTTTTTCAAAATTTATTTTGAATTAGAAAAAATAGATCAATCATAACTTTTAATCATAAATTTTAAGAGAAAATTTAATCTCCCCTCTCTCCCAGATACATTCATAAAATATACATAGTTGGATATACACAGAAAGATCTTTATTTTTTTTCTTTATGACGATAATAGATTGTGAATTTTGCATTAGTTTTCTTTCTCTTCAAGCAATATGTAATTATATTTCAGGAGGCAGAAGGAAAAGAGGATCAATCCGCCAACAGCTGCAATGGGCAGTCCAACAATGACGTCGCCTGCACCTTCGGTATATTCCCTCGCCAATTCTATCTCTGGCAGTCCTTTAGCGCTTACAACGCATTCCTCCAGCTCTGGCCACTCGCATCCTCATCCAACACCCATACCTCTCGCTTTAGTGACTTCGTCAGGCGGCAATTATCATCCGCTGAACAACAAGTCCCACGAGTGACACCAGCAAGTGACCCATCAAGGGAACACTCTCTACCATCAACATCATCAGCAATCACACCAACAGCAACAACATCATCATCAGCAACAAGCACGACGCTTGTGCAATCTACCAGAATTCTATCATTAGCCATGATTTGATTTCTCGAAGCTATTAATCGAGGTAATATTCGGAATATCGGATCTCAATGATCTCTAAGTCTGCTTATTTTTTGTTTATTGGCATTGAGTTAATTGATTCATTCATGACTTCCTCTTTAATCCCGTTTTATATTTTAATATTTTGACTGCGAAAAGAAAGTCAAGAATAGACAAGTTAACTCGGCATTTAATTTTTACAGCTAATATCACTGATGAGACTATCAAATGAAATTCAATAATAGCATCAAGAAATAAAAAATTCATGAAGAAATCACAAAGGAACCCAAAGAAAGATGTAATCAATTTTATAGACAATTAATTGAGGAGTGATTGAACGAGAGGATGTAAATTAAATGAAATATAAATAAGAGAAATCTAAATCCATGTTGATGATTAAATCCCGCAGTTGTAAGCATTTAAAGGGTATACGAAGACACGCTGCGTATTATATACAGTATGAATATTAATATGCATTTTTAAGTATACGGAAAATTAATAACTAATTCGGTTGAATGTATTAGTGTGCACTAGTTCACATTAAAGACTATTGTAAAAAAAATTGATAAACACGTAAACATAGTATACATAAACAGTTAAACTAGCTAAATGTTCAGCATAAGTTATATTTTTATGTCATATGCTGTACATTTCATCAATCGAAAATGTTTATGTTTATTATATTTACACACCTAAATATATAACATATTTCTTAATCAGTAATAGTGCAAATTAATATATTCAACCGCGTACAAATTTGTTATATAAGTTTTTTATCTGTACATGAAGCAATGAGAGATTATTGTATTATTATTAGGACAATTTTTTTAATGGAATAGCTTTAATTTTACGTAATTTTATACGTTTCAAGCGTATAAAGTGAATCATATTGGAATGTATTGTTTTTCTTTCTCATTTGAAAACTATTCAATGGCGAAGAAATTGCATTATCTGCGAAATGAACTGACTTTAACACTAGAAGTATCGAGGTCATCTATCTATCGGTCATTTATCTTCCTATATTTTATGGATAATTTAGATTAATATTATCAAGAGACACGGTAATATTTCTAAAGGCTCTAAAAGTGTAATAACGTCTAGCGATAGCACGAGACCAATCGTGTATTGTTATGCGAGCCGTCAAGTTTTTGAATAAAGCGTTATTAGATTTCAATAAGAGAATCGATTATATTCTTTGTATATTCAATATTTTGCACTCAGGTTGTATATTTTTTATGTAACAGATAAGATTTTGAAATTTTTTCTTTTACTTATCGATAATTATGTCTTTCATATTGATGAATATTTGGTTCTTTATCATTTTCCCAGACAACAAAAAGTCGAATCAGAAGACGTTTTTTTGCGTCTAAAAGACTACTTAAAAACGTGCTTCATAATTTTAGACTTTGTATTGTTTGGATTCTTTATTTTCATAGTAATTTATTAGGTGTAGTAAAAAGAAATCCATTATTTTTCCAATAGATGGCTTTATTAGTAATAATATTCGTCGATACTTCTAGTGTCAATGCTTGTAAATCGTGTGTTATCAATAATAGAAAGTTTTACAATTTCTAATTGCAACCTGATTGGTGTTCATAAAAATAGATCAAATTATATAAACACATATTCTACATATGTTTATATTAACATTTTTATAAATTACTCCTGATATATTTCAATTATTATTTCAAAAGATGATTGATGATTTTTTATTAACAATTTTTTTTAATATCTTTGCATATACTAATTTACAAAAATTAGTCATTGACGAGGAAATACTTATCACTTATTATTTTTTATAAATTCAATTTGGTTGCAGCATTATCGAAAATTATAACGAACGAGTTATATCGAACACTAACTTCATTAATCTATTTACACATATGTTTGAATGATTCAGATCGCAATAAATGATGCAGAAAAAATTATTTCACTCATTTTTTTTTCTTTAGTGTTGATATCTTTTTTTGAAAATAATTTTATTCGAGGATGTCTTTACTTCCCTGCGACAAACCGAGCTATAGCGTCTCAATGATAAAATAGCGAGATCCGACAATACAATTGTACATACATAGATATACGTAGGCGTGTCTGTCATCGTATCGTACATATCTGTGTCACAGGGCTGTATATATTATACGATTTAAGTCCATCAAATGTTACCGAGGATGCGATGCAAGACGATCACATCTCCCGGCGTCGCTCTCCCGCGTGCGTAGCAACGTTTAGCACTTGCATCCTTGATGAAAAAACTTTTGACAGTCACGAGCGATTAGTTAGCAGTAGTTAGAAATACTGTATATAATGCGGTACCTAGATAATACGTAATGTATATATGATCACGTACATTAAATGGCGAGCTATATAAAGCGTATACACTCGTATATCGAGATAGACGCAGTGGAGATTCAGACGCTTCCGATTTTTACGTTGTAGTTCTTATTCGTTATATTCTTATTCGTAAAAGTACACAGCATGATATGTCATGTATTTTTTAATACCAGTGATTTAATATATTTTAATATATATTTTTCGTTGTATATAGGCTTCTATTGGTATATTAGGTAGAAACTTTTTGCTCTCCGCTGTGACTCGATTTACGCTCGCTATGATCAAATCCGTTTCCCGCGAATACTTTCGGTGATTAATTAAGGGCTATGATTTTAGATTATAGGCCAGGAAACGTGATATACCAATCATATACTTATTCCTGAAACTCATGCGTGTGTATAGATTTCATTATCAACGTGAAAAATTTACGTAAGAATGTATACATATATAAATATATATAAATACAGTAATTTTATTGTAATATCACGTAAGTTGTCGACTGTGCATCATAGTATATACAAAATCTTTACGTGCATCTGCGTATACATATGCACATATAAATATAAATAAATGTATAAACGGACGTTGTATATAGTAAAGATTTAATAGGACAAGATTTAATAGCAACATGTACTATTATCATCATTATCATTGTCATCATTATCATCATATTATTGAGATTGGTATGTAGTCAATACGTGCTACTGTTGTTAATGTCGCTTGTCGTGTACATTACCATACGACTTTTTATGTATCTGACAATGTTTTACGTTTCTAACTGTACGTAGTTACACTAGGAAAGCTCATGCTGTCATTACATGATTCAATAATTTGCACGGTGCCACCGTATTGTTACGTTGCGCTACAAAATAATTTGAAATGTAACAACAGTATTTTGATATATGTGGGAAACTTTAATTGCGTAATTTTCTTTTAAATTATTTTAATGAGTCCAATCACGGAAGATTAATATTGCATACACGCGTTAGAAAATTTCTTTACAGTGAGAGTCGGACTAAACTGTTAGATCACGAACAAGTAACATCCGATAGCTTCCTATCGTCTCATTTCATACTTCATCTCATTTCTATCTTTAAACCTGAACTCCCAGAGTCGTGGACCAAGCTGTAGCGAAAACACATTCTCGACAAAAACATGCGCACGAGACAGAAAAGCGAATTATAGTAAGATAAAGGGAGAAACGCGAATAAAAAGAGTTCCTAAGGTCGCACATCCGTTGACAGGTACGCGGACGACGATGAGTGAAAAGAAAATAGGGAGGTAGAGAATACAATACCTCGGAAAGAAATTGAAAAAAGAAGACAGTTAAGTAAAGAGAGTCATAAAGGCGGGGAGAAGGTTATCGATTTTTGTTCGTCAGCAATTTGTAAATAATTAATATGATAATGATATAGAGATACGATCCCCACTCCTCTCTCCTCGCTACGGCATCATCGTCGGCTAATTATCGTTCGATATGTTGTAATGCGTTTAATAGACGTAATGCGCAAACGGATAGACATTTTATTGTATTAGTTACATCCATCAATTATTATTAGTTATTATTATTTCATTATATATATTTTAACTTTTATTATTTGAGAATAAAAGTGCTAGAGAGCTTTCAGTTACAGCAGCATTTTTTTGTTTGATTTTCTGTAGTTCCTCGCTCCTTCATTCCTTCCAAGTTACGATTTTAGTTTATGTTTGTAAAAAAAAAGATATATAGGAAGATATTTTTTATGATATGGATCACTTTCGAGATGACAGATATATCTATATATCTTAATTTTGAGAATTTTTTTTTTTATTGTTACATTTGCAATGTCGCGTTAGAAATGTATTTTTCTCCTACCGTCCTGTCATTTTCATCTGTGTGTGTATATATTAACTGTATATACGATTTAGTAGTGAATAGTAATACTCGATTTGCTATATATAAATGCGTTAAAGCCAATCTACGATCAGACGGGATAAGAAGCAGGATTAAATACAGGATTAAGATGTGAAGTAATTCTTAATTATTCAAACATTTTTGGCAATGCCAAAAATCATAATTACCGGCTATAAATGAGTAAAATTTATTTGTATAACAATTTGTGAATTATTCAAGCAACATATTTTGAATTACTAAATTAACTTTGCGTAGAATCATTTTTTATAAAGCGCGCATTAAATTTAAACGAACAGAAATTATACGATCTTTTGCTTTTTATTTCCATCTGCGTCATAATTGGCTTAAGGCTATTCTAGATGTTCTCAGTAATTAGGAGAAAACGAAGCTACAAAGCTCCAGGTATACAATTAGTCGACTACTTGTAGAAGAATTTATACTTTCGACGCAAGACGCGCAATTGGATACTTTAAGTTTAGAGCTAAATTACGAAAAGTTGAGTTAAAGCTTGATTTTAAGAAACATTAAGAAGAGTACAATTAATCTTTCTGGAATTAGTCAAATTATGCGTAAATATTTGCGGAGTGTACTTAAAGTGTCTGTACTTTAATCGAAAATAATTTTACTTGTGAAATTGGATAGTAGAAAATCGTGCGAATTTTTCAATTTATAGCATTTTGCATCTTAATTTGAAGTATCCAATTTTTCGACGTCTTCGTGGAAAATTATAGAATTATCATAGGTTTTATTAACGTTCGATGTGTAATATGTTATCACGAGGCGCATAATCGTGTAAGGGTAATACGCGAAGAGCACGGTATGACAGTTCTTAAAACGTTACGACGATCGGAAACCCGTTCAAATAAGAACGATAAATCGTTTAAATATTTTGTACTAAGAATTATCGGAGCGATCATGAACGACGGTGTCGCGATTCGTAAATTTTTCCGTCGACGGACTGTAATAATTATAGACAAATTTCCTGCTAATGCATGTCTGCAGCTATCTCCTCTCATCTTTTGATGAAAGGATGATTTTTGCGGGACTGAAAGAGAAAAAGAAAGAAAGAGAGAGAGAGAGGAGAGAGCGAATGAGAGGGAGAGAATGAAAATGAGAGGAAGAGCGAATGTATAAATAAAATCATATCAATCATAAATAGTTCGTGTTATCTAGATATACTACGATTATTACAATTATTATTTATCACAGTATAATTATAGTGAAGGATATTGTAATTGTATAATAAACTGGATCATAGATAATCTTTGTTGTTCCATGATTTCAAGATGTGTGTGGAAAAGTTCGATTATATATTTTCTAATCCTACATTCAATTGATTTTGAAAATTAATTTTAATAATGTTACAGCAAGATTT